ATATAATATATATATTATATATATAGTTCAACATCTCACATTCAGACTAGTGGCGCTTCGTTTATTAGAATAATTTATTAGAATAATCTTAACTCTAGCTATACATTCTGGAGTTTGAGATCTCAACAAAATTTCGAAACTCTATTATTATAGAATTAATAAATTGAACAGCATATTGCACAGCATTTTTCATATTGGATGAATATTTGATGCAGAAGAATACAACGTGAGTTTCAATTCATGAGGATTCAATCATGATCACTCTGTATTGAGGACTTATACAGAGAAAAATATGACTTTGCTTAATTCAGATCTTTTTAAGAGCTCTCCTTGTTTTACATCTAATGAACGATAAAAACAGAAATCATGATTATAAGCGTTTAAACGCATGATCGGCCAAAACGAAATGCAATTTTAAGTTAAGTCAACCTTGCTTTAAGAGGCTGTAAACTGTAAGCCGTAAGTTGCAAGTGACGAGATATCGGAGATACCATAGAACTTATGCTTTTAGGCTGTATAAAAATTGGGTTTTGCTCAATTCACTTAAGTACGGTTAAAGTCTAAAAACTGTGCAAAGACAATTTAAAGACAGAAATTATTGTCACTTAATCTCTTTCGACTTAAGATCTTTTAAAGTAAAACTGTGGACCGATACTTATGCGTCGTCTATAATACGAAATTGATTAATCACAGTCAATTATTCTTTTCACATTAAACTGTAATTGATCAATTTCTTACTCTTGCTTCCGTGTACTTATAAACGACGCATTAAACTCGATCTATAAGTATAATGCCGAACTTCGGAATGTGTTACTTTTAAAATTGACACATATACCTGAATCGTAGCTGAGTGTTCCTTCAACTATTCATCATCTGTTGAATATTATTGTACATGGTACGTTGGAATATAACATGGTATCGACACTGTAAAGAATCAAACTGGATTCATCTGATTCGGTTAAATTCTGAGTTCTACATACTATATCAATTTCTCTAAAGAATAACATAATTTCAGGAAGTAACATTGTACACGAAAAAAACACTTTTGCTGAAATATCTAAAAACTTAGCTAGATATAAATCTAAAGATAATTTTGTTGGATTGTCAAAATAATTATGTACGTTCAAACTGATTGCTAAAATATTAAAACTTTTTACAACGTTGTTTATCGTGCTTGATATTCCTACGTAATTTCATGATCTAACGAAATTATTTTCAAATCTATAACCGAATGATCCTTCTCGGAATGGTCATTGTTGTTTTAAAATGCCTTTCAATTTCGACATGCCTGAATAATTGAATAGGTATATAAGACTCAAAAAGTGAACGAAATCCGAAGCGGAAGTAGTACCAAATGAAAAGAGAAATCCCGCATAAAGTAATATCCATTAGTTTCGACATTGATTTTTAAAATCAGAATTTAAAAAGTCAAAATAGTATTAATTACTTGATTTTTGGCAGTCTACGTAGGGAACATTTAATAATAAAAACATAATAAGTGAATAGTATCAGAATAAATCAATAAAGCAGCATAAAAGCCTCCGCAAAATAAGTGCATATATATACAAGTATTAATTCAATATATACTTGTATTAATTCATTTTACAATCAATATAGACGTTTCGATCATATATTTAGTTACCGTTAGTAGCAAAATTAAAATTAAAACAAGTATTCACGCTACTTACAATATACATACAATATATATTACGTCATTACTAACTATCCAAAATAAAATATTTCTTACAAATTGTTATATCATTGTCGTTTGTTAGTCTGGAATGGATTCTCTGCCGATACCTAGTTTAAGTTTTATTTATTTTTGTTTCTTTGTGCTATTGTGCTATTGTGTGTGTATGTATTGTGCGTTAATGCTAATCATATATTATTAAATTTTGTATGAAATCATCCCTCAAGCATCTCAAATCTCCATAGAAATTTCAGTTCTATGAGTCAATAGAAATGCCAAAGGATGTATTACAAAGTTTTTATATATTAAGACGCTGACAGAATCTCATGAAGATATTTATCAGTAATGTGACAAGTGGAGAAAAAAAAGTTAATAATATAAAAATGTAGATATATGATTCTTAAGGAGATCCTAAAGACGATTATTAAAAATAGCACTTACACACAGACGATTTACGTATCATCGACACATCACTACATCAATATCTCACTCACGCATGTCACACTTACACATAAATTTTCGTACAACAATTACGTTTTAGTTAGACGTCTAATTGTAAGTTCAATTTTAAGAATTCCCTTCTTTCTTTATACAAAC